GTGTGGGGCTGCTCGGCTTCACTGTGTTTAACGTTGAGGAGCTGCCAGACGTTTCCGCAGCGGCCGCACCGTTTCACCTTCCCGCCAGCAGCGCGTCCTCGCCGACGCCGGTTACCTGTCTGTAACTGTAGCCACCTGCTGGATCGAGGGCTCTCTCGCTGGGATCTGATTTGCACGTCCTGATAACGACGGACATGTTTTCACGGGCATATTGAGCATTTGTACACCTTTGAAGGCATGTCTGTTCAGATCCTTTGCCCATTTTTGAATTGGGTTTTTTGTCTTTTTTTTTTTTTTAAAGATTTTATTTATTTATTCATGAGAGACACACAGAGAGAGGCAGAGACCCAGGCAGAGGGAGAAGCAGGCTCCATGCAGGGAGCCCAACGTGAGACTTGATCCCGGGTCTCCAGGATCACGCCCTGGGCTGAAGGCAGGCGCTAAACCACTGAGCCACCCAGGTTTTTTGTCTTTTTATTGTTGAGATCCTCCCTCCTTCTAGAGGCTTCTTTCAGCCTGTGCAGCCCTTGCTCTCCTGGGCTTTTGCCGTCCCTGGTGTGGGTCATGCATCGTCACTCTCCTTTGCTGGCTCCTCCTCGTGGTTCCAGCCTGTTTCCTTCTCTTGTTTCCTTCCCGTGCTGGGGGAGCCCACACCCGGGCGTTCCCGTGGCCAGTGCACGGTCCACTGCACAGGGGCGGCTGGTGGCTGTGGGTGCCCCTCACCTTCACCTCCTGCTCAACCGCGTCTCCTCCCCGCTCTGCTCCTCCACGTTAGCTCCTGGGCCTGAACCTGCAGGCCCTCTGACTGCTGATTGCCTGCCCTGGCCATGCTTTGTGTGTGATGCTCCCCTCTCATGTACTCCTCACCCTGCCTCCTGACCCCTGTCAGTGGGGTGGCTCCCCTCTTGCAGACTTGCCTGGCCACCTGCACCTGGGGGGCACCTGGTCTTGCTGGTGTCTGCTGTGAGTCCCAGCCTGAGGGTGCTGAAGGTCCCCTGAGCCCCTGGGAGTGCGGCATGGGGTAGGCAGCCAGGCTGATTTTGTTTGTTTTTAGCACGATTACCCAGTTACCCCAGCACGGTTTGTTGAAAGGATTATCTCTTCCCTGTTGAATACCTCAGTACCATTTCCAAAAATGACTTGAGTGTGTGTGTGTGTGGGGGGGGTGCTGTGTTTGGGTTGTTCTGTTTCATTGGTCTGCGTGTCTGTGTGGCGGCACTGTGTTGTCCTAATCACTGAGCTTCTGTGGTAAGTTCTGGCACCACTGGTGGACGTCTGCATCTTTATTCGTCTCTTCTTCAGATGGTTTTGGATCCTTCTGGTGCTTTCTATTTCAATATAAATTTTACAATAGCTTATCAATTTCTGCTGTTTTCTATATTGTGTTTTAATTTTAATTGCGATTCCATTGAATCCATAGACCAACTTCAGGAGAATCGGCCTCCTAATGATCTTGAGTTTTCCAACCTGTGAATATGGTCAGAATTTCTCTGATTTGACATTCTTCTCTTCCTTTTCAACAGTTCTGTATAGGTTTAGTATGCAGGCTTTGCATATATGTTGTTCAGTTTGTTGTTAACCATTTTTATTACACAAATTATTAAATTTCAGTTTGCAGGTGTTGGCTGTAGGTGCGCAGAAACATACCTGGTTTTGTACGTCACCTTGTGTTCTGGGACTCTGCTAGCTTTTCTTTATCCAGTAGGACAAGTTCTCTTCCTTGTTCTAGTTTCCTAGAGGTTTTATAATGACTAGGTGTCAAGTTTATCAAACGCTTTTTCTGTGTAACTCAAGATGGTTTTCTCCTTTTAAAATTTATCCTGCTGATATGATAATTTCATTCATTCCTTTTTGAGTATTAGGCCACCCTGCATTCCTGAGATGAAATTCTCTTAGTCATGATCCGTTATTCTTTTCATGGGGGTGGGGGGAAGCTCATCGGTCAGGGCCAGGCAGCCAGGGCCACAGGACATCTGGAGATGGGCCGTCTCCATGCTACTGGGTTTTTTTTTATTTAAAGATCTTATTTATTTATTCATGAGAGACACAGAGTGAGGCAGAAGCAGGCTCCCTGTGGGGAGCCCAATGCAGGATTCGATCCTAGGACCCCAGGATCATGCCCTGGGCCGAAGGCAGATGCTCAACTGCTGAGCCACTCAGGTGTCCCACATGCTGCTCGTTTTAATAAAGAGCCCCATAGAGCCCCACTCACAACGTGACAGGGTGTCTGGTGCAGACACGAGGAATGAGAGCCGTAGACGCCGTGAGCGCAGCCCTGGGAGGTGAAGCAGGGCTCACCAGCTCACAGCACAGAAGACAGAGGCTAACATCTTAGCGGCTGCCTCCAAAGCCAGCACGTCAGTCACAAAGGACGCAGAGTGAGCGTACAGATGTAGTAAAGTTCATTAACAAATAAAATATATAACAGAAACCAGTAATAGAAACAAAAAAAGAATAAGAGAGAGACCAAGATTCCAGATCCAACATGACAAGACTGATTAGGAAATATTATGAATCTATTATGACAACAAAGTGATATTTCAGAACTAAGATGAACCAGAAAAATTTCTTGAAACACACGAATTCTCAAACTGACTCCAGAAGAAAGGGAAAGCCTGAGTAGCTATCTGTGTCGATCTGAGGGCTTCCACACATCCTTACAGACGGTTCCACAAATGCCCAGGAACACATGGCTGCACCGTCAGGTATTTGGGCAGAGGTTGTAGCAGCTCCCCCAGGACACAGACCAGGCGCTCAGCTTTCCTAGGTCAGTGCTGTGATGATGCAAAAACCTGAACAAAAACTCTACAAGAAAAGATAGTGCACATCGCTCATAAACAGAGTAGCAGAAATCCTTAACAAAACATGAGGACGTTGGCTCTCACGATCCCTGAAAGGGATGGTCTCCACACGCTGCTTCTGTGTCCTAGCTGGAGGCTCCGCGAGGCTCTGGGCGCAGCAGGGCGGGGTGAGGGCACTTGGTGACGAGTTCCCTGCTGGGAGGTTGGTGGTGATAGAGCAGAAGTAGAGAGGGCAGTCGGAGTAGGGGCGAGTGGGGTGGGGGTGTGCTCCCCCGGGGGAGGTGGCCTCCGTGACTTGGGCCCTTGGCCCCTGCCTCGTCCCTCCAGTGTCCTGTGTCCAGGCGGCTGTTTCTGGTCACAAACCCTGGGCCTGGCTGCCCGTTCCCGTCCCTCAGGGTGGCGGCAGAGGTAGCAGTGGGGCACAGGCAGGGAGGTCACAGGCAGGGAGGTCTGTCCAGGCCGGTGAGAACAGGGGCACCATGTGACACGAGTTGGGACCATGCTTCCACTGGAACACGCCGCAGCACCAGAGAGCTCTGGGGTTTGGAGAAGGTGGCCCGACTCCCATGCAGGACGCCCCAGCTACGGGGTGCCGTCGGGTATGATGCAGCGCTGGGCGTCGGGGCGGCCAGGAGTCTGGTCGGGGCAAGCAGGAGCAGTGGGCGAGAGGTGGCCTGCATCTGGGTCAGCGTCCGGGTGTCGTGTGCCTCTCAGGAATGAGAGGAGAGAGGCTTTGGGAAGGGCGGCCCCAGGACTTTTGGCCAGAAGGACTGGAGGGTGGGAGTTGCTGGGGGTGAGCCCGCGGTGCAGCCGGCTGGGGGGGTGCAAGGCCGGTTTTGGCATGTGGAGTTTGAGATGCCCCCTGGACAGCCAGCTGGAGGTGCCCAGCAGGCTGTGGGGGGGCCAGGCGAGCCGAGGCCCAGGTGAGGGTGTCTGTGGGACGGTGACACACACGAGATGTCAGGCCAGGAGGTGAGCACGGGGAGAGGCCTGAGCTCCAGGCTCAGACACAGGTGGTCGGGGGGGGGCGAGGAGCCCCAAAGCCCCTCAGGCAGGTGGCCCCACGCGGGGAGGGCTCCAGGAGGGCAGAGGGTGCCCGCCTCCACGGGGTGGGCGGGAGCGTGGGGGCTGAGGGAGGAGGTGCAGCTCGGGGGACGGAGGCTCCGTGGTGGCGCCGGTGTGAGTGGATCTGAGGGGAAACCACACGTTCTGCAGTTTGCTGTAACCTGTTGGAGGCCTGGTGGTGCTCTGACGCCTCCCAGGCTGGCCTAGGGGCTCCTTCCCATCCTGCGGCCCCCACCCTTCCCCACGGACAGCCCCCGCACCCCGACTCCATGCCGCTCCCTCTATGAGGCCCAGGGCAGGTGTCAGGCACCCAGGCCCAGGTCAGATGGTGCCCCCACCCCCAGCCCTGCCACACGGGCCCTGCAAGGAGCAAGGGGGCATCAGGCTGCAGGTGGAAAGGTCGGGAGGGCTCTTCTGTGGTGTCTGCTGGGCCCGAGGGCAGGGTTTGCCCACTGCAGGTGTCACCCTGTCCCCAGGGAGCCCGGGGGTGGGGAGCAGGGGTCAACCCCAAGCAGGTGAGGAGCTGGTCTTCTCAGTTCCTTCAAGGTCACGCACAGAACCATAAGCTGGGATCTGGGGAGAGTCTGGTCTCCGCCTCCAGCGTTTTTGGGTCTGGAGGTGGGGGTGTCATCGCAGCCCCTGGAGGCCACCGTGCTCCCCCAGCTTGCCGACCTTGCTGACCTCAAGGGGAGCCTTTCCCCAGGGAAGGCTCACGGCAGGGCCTCCTCAGAGGGGCAGGCACTGACCCCCAGACCAGAGGGCCTGCGTGGTGGGGGTGCCACGGCTGCGCGGGGTGGGGTCCTGACTGCGGCACCTCACCCGTGTCGTTCTCTCCCTCCTTCCTCGCCCCTGTTGCTGCCCTGCTTCTCTGCTCCCCGCTGCCTTGTCCGTCTGTGGGTGTGTCTGTCCCTCTGGGGCTCCGATCCTCATCCCCTCCCATGGCTCTGGTTCTTCCCTTTCCGTTTCCCCCTCCCCACGTGGTCCCCTGCCCCCTACCCCCGCCACCCTCTGCCGCCCCCACCCCGCATCCGCCACGACTTCCCCTGCCCGTGGCCCATGGCCGACCCCTCCACCCGTCCCCACCCTGTCCCGCTCGCTGTCTTCTCTCTCCCGCCTCTACCCTGCCCGCCTTAGGCACGCGGCGCAGCAGGAGACCAACAAGACCGTCGCGGCCAGCACCGGTGCCGTGAAGCGGATGACGGAGCTCCTGCGGGGCTGCTCCCGGGTACGTGGTCCTGGAGGCCGTGGGGGGCCGGAGGGTGGGGCCTGGGGAGGTCGCTGGGCCCAGGGTGCCCGCGCTGCCTGGGTTTGGCTGGTGAGCTGTGCAGGCGGCGCTCGATGTGCGAGCTGGGCACCCACTGTATGCTGGGCGCTGCCGTGGTGTCCTGGCCGGGTCGTCTGAACAGACACACACCCCTCCCCCTCCCCCACCTCCCTCTCCCCCTGCCTGTCATTGCGGCACTGCCATCCTCGCCCATCATCACAGACATAATTGCCGTGGGCACAGTTGCCACCATACTTGGTGCCACAGCCCCCTTCACGGCCCTGACCCTCATCCCATCACCTTGTGCCCTCCCCCACTGCAGCCCCTCCACATCCCCTTCACCCTTGCTCGGTCAGCACATCCCCATCTTTGTTGTCTATGCCCTATCCCGTTCTCCAGAGGTTGGGGGGCATGTGTCACAAAACAGATACTCTCAGCCCCTCAGCTGCCCTGCGCCAGGGGCCGTGTTCATGGGTAAAGCTCCTTGCTCATCACCTGGTGCCCAGGGCGCCTTCCCGCTACATCAGCAGACTTGGGTGCCTGCCCAGCCTGGGACGCTGGAGTCTGGCCTCTGCGACAGGTTGGGCCGTGGCGTGGAAGGTGCACAAGAGCTTCCGGTGACATGTCCAAGAAGCTGACGCTGCTGCCACCCGAGGACCGCGGCAGTCCGCTAAGTGAGAGAGGCCAGTGCAGAAGCCACATGCTGTATGGCCTGGTTCGTGTGAAGTGTCCAGAAAACACAAGCCTGTGCTGACAGCAGGGGTCTGGGCTTGTGTGGCTGGGAGAAGAGCTGGGACGAGCCACGGGGGCCCCGAGGAGCAACTGGGGTGATGGAAATGCTCTGAAGCCAGCTGGCGGTCACGGCTGCGCAGCTAGCAGTTATGAACCGTGAAGTCAGAATCGTGCGTTCTACTTAGGAAAGTTAGGGTGCACTCTAGTGAACAAGTAGGCCCAGCTCCAGAGGCTGAGTTATGCTTCGATTATTGGAATATGCCAGAAGGAGCGTCGAGGAGCAGGGGTCTGCTGTCCATGACGGGTGGAGGTGTGCCCGCTAGCCCTGGGACGGGCACCGCGCTTTACTCTGTGCACGGTTCAACCACGGCCTTTGGTCGTTCAGGACGACACGCAAGTGCCTGGTCCCGGACGCTGCTGGAAATGGCTGTGGCCCTTCGATGGAGGAAGAAGCGCACCCAGCAGCAGCGTCCACACGGCTTTCTCGGTCCTGGCACTGGTGTGCGGCTTCTCCCGTGTGGCTTTGCTCTTTGCCCTTGGCCTCTGTGGGCTCCACCCATTTGTTTGTTGACTCATCTGAGAGCTTGTCTCTGGTCCCTCCCACCCCCCTCCCACCTCTGTGCACGTTGGGTGCTCCTGGCCGTCCTTCAGCAGGTGCCCTGCCCAAAGCCTTGCACCAGGGAGGAATCTCGGCTAGATTGCAGCTCTGAGTTGTTTGGGTCCACCGTCCACGCGGTCACCTGCATGCACCACGACGGCTGAGAACCAGTGCTTGAGTTCCTTGGGGGTTGACTGACAGGGATCGCTTTTAGCTTAATGTGTCCTTCCTTTTGTCCCCACCCATTACCCACCTGTCTGTCCGCCCATCTGCCCACCTAAGAACCCAGCAAGACACTCTGTGTGAGATGCTGGGGGAGGACACAGATGAGGTCCCCTGGGAGGTCTCCCCCTTCTGAGGTAGGACAGCCTGCCCGGGAGGGGCTGGAATTGCTGACTGCTCCTGCAGAGAAGAGACTGTGCAGGTCACATGGGGCTGCTGCTGGATCACACGGCCGGAGGGCACTGAGAGATCCTGGGCCCTCAGCGCTGCCCTGGGGCACACATGTGCCACTCACAGGGGCCTCCCCTGGATGCTAACCAGGCTTTACCAAGCTGCAGTCACACGGGGACCTCGAGGCCCCACTGCCACCAAGTGCCCCTGAAAAGTGACCTTGGGAGAGTTGGTGCCCCTGCATCGTGGCCAGGCTGCGGTGCAGCTGTAGCTGTTGTGCGGGGGCTTGCGTGGCGGTGTTGGCGGTCGGTGGTAGAGGGGCGAGCCCCAAGCCCAGGGGCTGAGTTCCTGTTGGAGGTTGACAGAAGGCCCCCCGGCAGGGGCGGGCTGTCTGTGACTTGAGATGCAGGGTCCGGGAGGCAGACGGGGCCCTCCTGGGAGGTCGGGGGGTGGGGAGGGTGCCAGAGCAGGAGCCCACAGGGGAGTAGCAGGAGCCCACAGGGGAGTAGCAGGAGCCCACATCCTTGTCCTGGTGCAAGGGCACTGGGCATCAGTGTGGCTTTGTGCTGGTGCTTGCAGAGAGACATGACGGTTGGGGTCTGGGCGGCTCACACAAACCCCAGCAGGCAGTGCCTGGTTTCAGGGCTCACTTGTCTGTTCCCTGGCTTGGCAGTATGTCCTGAGCATGCACTCTGTGCCAGGTGTCATTCTGGGCACTGGGGTGCATTGGCAAACAAGACGTGAAGTCCTGTTTTGGTGGAAGGGTGGAGGCTGTGTGTGCTGCTGAGTGCCAGGCGGTAGAGGGAGGTTTGGTGAGCACACTTCTGATGCTGTGATTAGCTGCAGGGCCCTGGGGTCAGCAGCCTGGCTCCACCACCTGTGTGGCCGTGAATGGGCCACTTAGAACTCGGGCTGAGGCCTCCTGAGCTGTCAGGTAGAAATCATAACCCTTGTCACCTGAGTGAGTCATTGTGGGGATCAGACAGACATGTGTGTGGTGCTCCACGGCCGGTGTTGAGGACGTGTATGGGATTGGGTGGGGGGGTGTCTGCAGCAGGCTTGTGGAGCCAGCAGCCTGTGCTGGTGTGTGATGCTGTGAGCTGTTGGGGAAGAAGGAGATGGGGATGAGCCAGTTCTGACAGCAGAGCATTGATGGTGGCGTGAGGCTGAGATGGACAGGAGGGGGCAAGTGCAGCCAGTGCCCTGAGGGAGGGGGGTACAAGAAGCACTCTAGGGATGGAGGAGGCCACAGGGCAGGCAAGGCCTCAGCTGCCTTCATAGCGCACGTTCTCTCTTTGCAGCAGGAGTGTCTGCAGCTGGACCGCCTGAAAACCCAGCTCTCGGATGCCATTCAGCGCTATGGTGTGGTACAGAAGGTGAGGCCCCCCGGGGGGCAGTGGTGGACCAGCTGGGTGGGCCTCGGGCCCGTGGGCTCCCATTCTGGGTTGGCCTGGTGTGGCTCCATCCCCCAGAGCAGAGGAGGGGCCCGGCCTGTGGACGTTCGGTAGTTACCGGGAGCCACAACCTCCGAGCCTGCGTAGTGAAGGAGATTTACCTTTGGGTGCTGCCCGGGAGGCATCTGGCGGGTGGGATGACCGGGCATCCCCTTTTCTGACAGGTGAGGACACTGAGACCCAGGGCTTCAATGTGGGAGGGGGCCATCCACCCGATTGTTGGCAGAGCCCAGCCCGGCACCCAGCCTTCCCGAGGCCCAGGGCAGCTCCATCCTGTCACGGAGCCAAAGGTGTGCTCTGCTGCCGGCCATCATCCCCTCCTTGGTGCTCATCTGACCCCTTCTCCTCTCCTCCCCACCTTTTCTGTTCTTCCTATTACAGAAAATTGCGGAAAAGTCCAGAGCACTGCTTCCCACGGCCCAGCGGGGTGGCAAACAGCAGGTGGGTGCTGAGTGACAACTGTGTCCGTGGGCGTCAGGTGATGGCACCACATCCAGGGCCCTCTCTGCTCAGGGCTTAGTTCTCTGGCACAGGCCCGGCACGGAGTACCGGGTGCTGACAGTTCCGCTCACTGTGCAGGACCGTCTTGTACCCGACTGGCCCTCCTGGGGGTGGAAACTGGCCCTCCTGGGAGTCCGCCTGGAGTCCTAGAGGAATGGGGAGACAGTGTCTGATGGTGTAACAGCTGAAAATTTTCCAAGAACTCCTGTGATAAACAGGATAAATTTACCCTGACTTGTATCATCATAAAATTTCGAAAACCAAAGACAAAGATGAAAGCCCGAGACAAGAAGTCATGTTATTTTTTGTGGAGCAACAAGATTTATGCCCGACTTCTGAGGTGGAAGCTGGGGGACGACCGGGAGGCATCTTTAAAGTGCTGAGAGAAATTGCTCACATGGAATTCTACATCCAGTGAAAATACTTTTCAGAACAAAGGTAGAACAAAAACATCTTTAGAGAAACATAAGCTGTGGGAACTTATCACTGACGAATTCTGACAGTAGCAGAGGGAAGGTGGTCCCAGGTGGATGTGCAGCAGCGGGAAGGGGCGGCACGTCCTGGAAACAACTGACACGTGGACTCAACTGAGCTCATCTTGGCTGTTGAGTAATGCTCTCTACCTGCAGGGCTTCAATGCAGAGCAAGTGGAAGAGCTTGGCCAGCGGTAGCCCGGGAGGAGTGAGCTGTGTGAAAGCGTGCAGTGTCTGTGTCCTAGAGATGCGATAGGAGCCCCGGCCTGTGGCAGCTGGCAGTAAACCAGAGAGGCATCTCGTGTCATGTGGGTGATGCTAAAGGACAACACAAGAACATGAAATACAAAGTAAGCTAAAGGAGTATATGAAATGATAAAACAAGCCTGACTGATTTGAAAGAAAGCCAAAAAAAAAAAAAAAATCAAAAAACAGGAAACAAGTTGTAAGATGGTAGGTTCATACCAAATTTGTTTATAACTCTATTAGAATGGCCTGGCCCCTCTGATGATGGGGCACAGATTGTCAGACTTGGTTAAATATAAATCCAGAAAAGCGTGAGAGTTAGAGGATGGAGAAAGATACACACTGTGAAGCCACAATGCAAAGGCGACTGGTGCCCCATGCCTGTGTGAGGGTGAGCGACTCTGTTCCTGCACACATGGGCACGCCTCCCAGGACAGCGTGGCCATTCAGATGTAGGACACAGTTCTGTATCTGTGCCGAATAACATAGCTTCAAAAACATAGGACAAAACCGATAGTAATAAAAGGAAAAACAGTAAATCCACAGTCACAGGTGGAGATGTAACACAGCTCCGGAAATGACTGAGGAAGGAAACAGGAAAGCTCAGTGAGGATCTAGACGACTCAGCCAATGCGATTAGTGAGCACACTCCTACCAGGAGTCACTTACGACCCAGTAACCAAGCGCAGGAGAGTGTGCATTCCCGCCAGGTGCACAGCACCTGCTGGACCTTGAACCAGGCTCCGCAGATTCCAGAGGGTTGACGTGACCCCGAGTACATTCTTGGATCGGCGTGATGAAATTCATCTATGATAACAAAAAGGCAATTTCCAAGGTTGGGAATGAAAAGAATACAATTTGAAGGAACCTGTGAATCAGAGAAGAAATTACAGTGGAAACTGGAAACCATCATGAAGTGAACAACAAAGAGAATGCAACAAATCCAGACTTGGATGCAGCTACAGCAGAGCTCCAAATGCTTTCTTCAGAAAGAAGAAAGTGTGAAAATCACAGAGCTAATTCTCAATCTCAGGAAGCTAGAAAAGCAACAAGTTAAATTCTAAGAAAATACATAGGGAAAAGTAGCAATCAGTGTAATTTATAGGAGATGTGGGGATCCCTGGGTGGTGCAGCGATTTGGCGCCTGCCTTTGGCCCAGGGCGCGATCCTGGAGACCCGGGATCGAATCCCACGTCGGGTTCCCGGTGCATGGAGCCTGCTTCTCCCTCTGCCTATGTCTCTGCCTCCCTCTCTCTCTCTGTGACTATCATAAATAAATAAAAAAAAATTATAGGAGATGTGTATTGGACAAATCCAACAAAGCCAAAATTTGTATAATAAATCCCACAAGATTAGTTTTGATACAGAGAGAACGTACAAATTACTAGGATTGAGAATGACAATGACTAGGTCATGGATGCTACATACCAGGAGAAATAGAAGCATGAAAATACTATGATAGAATTTATGTCAGTAAATTTGACAGTGTAGGTGAAATATAATTTTTTTTTTTTAGAAAAAACGTAAGTTACCAAGACGTACAGAAAATCTGGACAGGCACCTGGGTGGCTCAGCAGTTGAGCATCTTCCTTCGGCTCAGGGTGTGACCCTGGAGTCCTGGGATCGAGTCCTGCATCAGGGTCCCTGCCTGGAGCCTGCTTCTCCCTCTGCCTGTGTCTCTGCCTCTCTCTGTGTGTCTTTCATGAATAAATACATAAAATCTCTTTAAAAAAAAAAAGAAAGTCTGGAAAGTCCAGTATTTATTATAGAAATGATAAATAAAACCAATAATTAAATAATTGGCATTGTTAGAAATCCTAGCAAGAAAACTTCAGACTTAGATGATTTTTTAAAAGATTTTATTTATTTATTTATGAGAGACACACAGATACAGGCAGAGGGAGAAGCAGGCTCCCTGCGTGGAGCCCGATGTGGGACTCGATCCCAGGACCCCAGGATCACGACCTGAGCTGAAGGCAGACGCTCCACCACTGAGCCGCCCAGACGTCCCCAGACCTAGAAGATTTTATTGGTGAATTCTTTCAAACACTTGAGGAATAAGTGTTAACAGTTTGTACAAACTCTTAAATAATATTTAAAAAGAGGGATCACATCCCAACTTGCTTTACGAGGCCAGCAAACCGTGATGCCAAATTCAAACAAGGGTGTCACCAAAAGGAAAGGAGTGCGTTCTCTTGTGAGCATAGGAGCAAAAACCGTAACCAGACCACTCACAGGCTGGATCTAGCAATACATAGAAGGGTCACACGTGGTTACAAAGTGGGGCTTGTTCTGGGGGTGCACGGCTGCTTTATGTTCAGAAATAACCCACCTGAGCTGCCACGTTCCTAGAGTAAGAATCCACTCCATCATCTCAATAAAGCAAGAAGAAGAGCACTTGGTAAAATCCAACGCCCACCGAGGGCTCTCAGCAAGCTGGTGCGTAGGAATGCCTCTCATCTGATGATGGGTGTCTTCGAAAGTTGCAGTCGGCCCCACACGTACTGCTGAGCTGTTGGAAGCCTCACTCCCAAGACTGAGGACGGGACTCGGTGTCTGGTCCTTCTCTTCCTCGCGTGCGGGAGGGCGCGTCCAGGGCACTGTGACCGGGGACAGAAGTGAGAGGTGTGGGAATTAGGGAGGAAGAGGCTGCATCAGAGACAGCACCGCTGTGTTACTGGAAAGGGTGGAGGAGTCTGCAGATAAACTCCAGGCTCACAGTGATTGTAACAGGCCATATACGAGGAAACACCGTGTGTGCCCGCGGAGGACAGCGTGCAGATGAAATTCGAAAAGCAATGCCCAGCATCCGGGCTTGGAGGAAAGCCTTCCAACAGCTGTTTGAGCAAGGGCGCCGCCGTGCTGTGGGGATGGAGGGTCTGTTCGGGGCTCGATGCTGCACTGGCCAGGGTTTGAACTGGGAAAGAGGACCCTGTTGAGAAAATGGCAAGTCCAAGTCCAAATACTCCTACTCTTGCATCTCCGAATCACCAGGGAAACAGCGCATTCAGTCCCTGCAGAGACGAGCCAGCAAGATCAGCTCCGCGGGGGGCATGGTCCCCTGTGGCCAGCGGGTCCCTCCTGGTGGTTGACGCAGGGCCGTCAGCTTGTGCACATCCCTCTTGCGCCGCAGCAGAGGGTCCCTGTCCCCTCCCCGCAGGGACAGGCACAGCACTGGGCTTGGCCAGGTGCCATGTGACCGCCTGATGCTGTAGCAGAACAAAGGAGTCTGCGCCGGGTCGGAAACAGGGAAAGACGTTGTCATACGTGGCAGCAAGCCTGGCACAGCTGCGAAGCCTCTGCCTCTTGGTGAGAAAGTGCTCTGGGCCATGGCTGAGAGGGGCCAGGAGGACGGTGCATGCACAGGATGGCCATCGCCAGCAGGTCCTTTACCGTAACCTACCCCACGCACAAGAAGCACTTCAGCTGGATCATGGACCTACACGTGAAAGATAAGGCAATGAAGCTTCTGGAAGAGGCCATAGGAGTCTGTTTTCACATCTTTTTGGTGAGCAGACATTTCTTACGTGGAAGAAAAAGTACCAAGTGTAAAGAAGATCAGCTTGACTTCCTTAGGTTAACACACTCTTAACTAAGCGAGGGGAAAGGGAACCCGCAGTGTGACACGTGTTTACGTACACGTGTCTGGAAGGGAGTGATGTCCGTATTAGGTGAACATCTCTCACAAATCAACAAAAAGACTACTCATTTCAAAAACATCAAAAGGCAAAAGCCTTAGGCACGTCTTAGGGGGGGCCCATGTGGCCGGAAAGTGCAGGAATGTGTGCTCAGCAGGTGTCACCAGAAGCAGGCCAGGTGAGCCCATGATGCCTGGTCACTACACATCCCCCTGTGCCCACAGAGCACTAAAAGCAGCAGACTCATGGCAGGATACCCAGTGCTGGGAGGATGCGGGGCACCTGGAAGCCTGTGCACGCCCCATGGGAGTGCAAGTGGGTGCCTCCCCTCTGGACACTGAAACTCTTCCCGGATTCACATGTTCTCTCTCCCGTGACCTTGCAGTCCCTGCCCCCTGAAGGGTACGGCCGGTGGAGATGCACGTGTGCTCACCCGAAATCCCACAGAAGGACGCTCGTAGCCACTGACACGCAGCAGCACAGCGCTGGGAAGGCAGCCAGCCCGCGGTGCCGTGGCCAGATCATTTGTGCTGGTTTCACGCACCAAGCCTGTAGCGCCACAAAGAGCCAGCTGTCGCCGGCA